GCCTTACTGCATGGTTTGTGAATAGGGTGCGCAGGTTTCATTCCTGCAGAATGGACCGCGGTGATTAGATAAATTGTTCAACCCTTTGATAACAAAGGTACGCTCTGAGGCTTGTACCCGTTCCTTCTCACGTGGTCTGCCAGCATCAACCTCCAGACGTAAGTCTCCCTTACTCGTCGCAGACATACCAGTGCCGGCAGCATCGTCGCCGTGAACGAAGCCTTGGTTTTAGGGTATGCACTGGTTGCCAGTGATCTAGTCGCAACGCCACGAACTTACTGCTTCAAGCTCTCTCCTGTTTGTTTTGTCTTCCTGGACTTTGCGGTGGGCAACGATAGAGTTCATAGGTATCATTTGTGGCTTCACAGTCGACGAAGGAAGGCGATGGCCGTACCGTTGTCGCGGTAGAAACTAATATCGCACGAGTGAAGATGGGGCAAGAGGCAGGATGATAATCTAAGAAGCTCCAGGGTGGCCTTCCTCATGTTTGACCCAAGCTGATACGTCAGAAATGTATACCGGAACGTGTTGTACATTGGCGCCAGAGCAGATAGAGCGAGCAAGAACGCCCTAATCGGTTAGCTTTGAAACAAGAAATATTTAACGTGAGACCAGATAATTGTTATTCCCAGTAATCCGCATGCACGCGCTTCCAGGGGCCCAATTACATGGGCGAGATGGATCTGGACACGGAAGATGTCGCTTGGGTGATTACACCTCCTTTCGCCTGCAACATGGGCAGCAACGCAGAGACCGTCGCGCCCGCTGCCACTTTCCTCGATAACATCTTCGCGGTGAGCTTGGAGCTTGCTCGGATGACTACCTTTGGCTATGCTCTGTCTGCCTGTCTGTCTGTCTCTCTTCCTCGCTCTCTCTTTCTCCCTCTCTTTCTCTGTCGGTCTCTTTTGGATGCTCTTCTTCTCTCGCGCTTCCTAATCAACCAGTTGGTCATGTTTTTGGTACTGTGGCTGTGTTCGGTGAAAGTGTTGGCGGTCACCTTGTCCTTGTTGGTACACCCCCCGCCCATTTTTGAGGGGGTCCATGTCAAGCCAAATTGAAAGCCAAATTGGTACATGTCTGGACACCAGAGCCACACGGGTTACTTTGGTTATGTACGTATCAGCAGCGATCGTCTTCGTCGTCCCTTCTACTGACTCGAAGGGTCGCGAGGTCTTCACCCGGAAGGCCAGCAAAGGCCGCGCCGGCAATAGCGGTGCAAATGCTTCCTCTGCTCCTGCCGAGGGGACGAAAGGTACACGGTATTCGGTAAAGGCAGCGAGCAACGGAGGTGTCGTACAATGCACGACGAAGCGTGCACTTGAACCATTTTTCCATCGACGTGACCCCCTTGAACTTGAACTCCCGTGCGTTGGTACTGCAGCGCAGGTACGCTCGCCCAGATCCACCGTTACGAACACCATTTGAGCTTGATGTTTGGCTTGCCTGCAATGAAAACACCGACCCTGCAACCCGTAGCTGCCGAACCAGCCGCACCCCCTTCGTCGCTCCCGTCCCGCAATTTTTCACCCGGCTGCTCCACTTCTTCCTGCGTCAGCATCATCAGCCAGCGCCGACAACTCCCGGCGAAAAGTATCGACAACCGGGAAGAAGTTTTCGGCGGGCTGCGTCGCGGGCTCCACCCCTCCAAGTAGGAAGCGGCGTGGTCGAAGTACGCTCGTGCCTGGAAGAAAAGAAACCCCGACCTTCCCCGAGAAGACGTGGTGGCCCTGGCCCAAGGCCACGGCGTTCCTTGCGGAGGGTCGAAGGAGGCTATCATAAAGCGCATCGGCCGCAATGCGGAGCACGAGCTGTTCCTCGATCAGCAATAAGTTTGACTTCTGTTTTTGATGCAATAGTTTTTGTCTTTACCTACATACATGTGTTCCGTTTTGGTTTGGGGTGTTTTTTTTTGTTTTTTTGTTTGTTTTTCTCCCATCATTGGACTCTGTCGTCTGCCCCTCTGGCCCCTATCCTCCACTTCTACTAGCTAGACGACCCAACCGGGGTCACATAGGAGGGGGGGTTGAACCCCCTCCTGCGGTCCATGCCTGAGGTATTTTCGCGAGAAGGGTACAGCAATCCCTTCCCTCGCGACTTACGAAGTCGATTATGGTTTACTAACAAACGAGCTTTGCAGCGCATCGCTTTCATCCTAGACCAGGATTTATTTAGTGAGAAAAAAACTCTCTCTGTCGGGACTCGAACCCATGACCTGGCCCTTAGCAGGCTGCGAGGCTACCCACTAGACCACCGGGGCGACCGGTGGTGTGTTGCTCGGCGGTTCATAGCAAGGGGCCAATAGCCCCTGGCGGGACTAGCTCGGATGATGGCATGCATCCATGCCTGTTGGGTGCGACGACCGCTCGCGCGGGGGTTTTCGTAGCCTTGGTTACTCCGTGCCAGAGACAAGCTCGTAGTCGATTTTATGGCGTGTTGTTGTTATGATGAATCTTTCGGTTTGCAACCTCCCCCCTTAGTTTCCTGGCGTTTAGTTGTTTGTGCCTTGCGTCGATGCCATCCTCGTATCTCCCAACTTTTTGCGTTGAACAGCTCTTGTTGGGTCTTATGTCATGAACGAACTGCAATTGCCACTGCGGGCAACAACCCTGTCGGGAGTAAATAATGCTGAGAAAATTGTGTGGTTGGTCTCTTCCGAATCCGGATTGTCTGTCAGGGTAATGTCTTCAGCGTGTGTAGTGTGGTCGTTGTGTCACATGGGCGAGTTGGTGGAACAGTCGATGAAATACCTGACGCAACACACACTAGTCATGAAGCATCTGCTCTGTTCACAATGTTGGGATTCCAATCAAAACGGGGTCGCCGATTTCGAGGGTGAGAAAATGAAATTCAATGAGAAAGTGTGTCCTCATGATGTCTACACGTCTACATGGAACAGTTGAATGCAGCAGGATGTACAGACGCAACCTCACTACGCTGGCTACTGCTTCCTTGGAAAAAAGGGCGCTTTTTCTGGACTCAGGGGCATCTTGACTTTTCTTGCGCCGCATGCTATTCGTATGAATACGCCACAGGAAGCAGTTGGAGCATCTGTATATCGGAAGTGGCTCTGCTTATCATTTTTTCGGAACGACGCAACTGAGGTTAGCCCGCTTTGCCAGCTGTAGCTCAAGTCATCTTGTTAGGGACACCACGGAAGGACGAAGAGTATCGTTTTTTTCATGGTACATATGGAAAGAGGCCTTTTCCATAACCTTTTAGGCCAATTTATAAGACAGTAACACGAACGGCTTTTTGTATCGCCTCTCGAACGGGCCGCTCCCCCAGACTTCTCCCCTGGTGGAGTCCAATCTGGCCAATCTTGCGGTCATATCTCCTCCTCTAAAGAACACAGCGTCATCAAGTCGATCACAGCACCGTCGGTGTGCAGTCCTTGTGCCCCTGAGCCCTGTTCTCTGACACAAAATATGTCACGCGCTTGCTCTGCCTCACGTTGAAGTTCTGTGTAGTTTTTCCCTGCCCATCGCACCCTTATAACAACATATTCGCCTGATTGAGAGCGTAGCATCTGATTGAGAGCGAGATTGCGCGATACGCTGTAGCCGGACTACCACTGAGAGGTGGAGCTTGCTGTGTAGCTTGAATTGAAGGGCTAGCCCGTAGCTTCAAGCCGCTACCCTGGTCATCCTGTGGGAGTCTCTCGTTGTGGAGCTA